CTGTACAAATTGTGTGACCATTAGTCAGTGTCTTATAGTAGCACAGACTGGGGAGTGGTGGGACATACGCCATGTACTCACCCTCTACGACTCAGTCCCGGTAGTGCCTGGAGCTTGGCTCGGGGGATGGGCATGTGAACAGTGAGAGGTTTCCCTCTGTTGTACATGTTGAAAATAAGCAAAGCAAAGGCTGGCTTACTAAACATGAATTTGTATGTTGCATTTTTATGGATCTTTGACCTTTTGCCAAGTATAATTTTTGGAGTTTTCATTTAAATACCTTTGACATATTAGCCTTTTCTACCTAGAGTTTGAATTTACATATGTGACCTTTGTTCTTTTCTGCTTTGGGGACTAAGGAACACCAAAGACCACTGCTATTATTTGAGAAGATTGGGTGGCCCACAAAGGTGAAAGGTGGTGGTGGCGCACTCTTAGCTTGTCAGCACCTGGGTGGGAGCTCCAGAGACGCAGGGCACCAGGGAGAATGGGAAAGCTGATAGCCCCGGAGGCAGTGGGTGCGAGGGCCTTCTATGTTCCTTCAGTTGTCCCTGAGAGCCAGGCACTGTGCTAAAATATACTGAAGGTGCAGAGGGGACCCCTGAAGGCCATGGCACTTGAGGACTGGCTAGGAAATGGGGTGTGAGCAGACAGTGCAAAGCAGAGTGGTAAAACTCGGGTGGAGGCAAATCTGGGGCTGTGGTGCACACTGGCATGTTCAAGGCTATATCTTCAGGAAAAGACAGGAGGAGCCGAGGGCCTGCTGGACTCAAGGATAGGAAAAAGTGAGGTTATGAATCTACATCAATGAACTTCAACTTTTAAACTGAGCGCTTTTCTGAGAAGTCTAAACCAGAGAGTTAAATGATGTGGTTTATGTAACCCAGGTGTTGAATGAGATGCTTCTAGCCAAAGTGCAGAAATCAGAGAAGAGAGGAGCAAGATGGGTAGATCCACCAGTGGTGGCATTTGTGGAAACTCTAGACAACTGATGTCAGCTGACTGCTAGGTGACAGTTTTAATCCAGTTGCAAGTGAAGTCAAAGAGTGTAAGTGATGGGTGGTAACTAAGAGATTGCCTGGGCTTAGAAAAGTGGACCTCCAGTGGGTTAGGTGACACCCCAAGGTCATGTGGCAGAGGTACCAGGGAAGCAAAGGTGGGACTGAAGCCAGCTTAAGCTGAGATCCTCCTATAGAAAACCCCATTCTCTTCCCCTTGCATTCATATACGTTTGTTACACTCCTGGATGTAAAATGCCACCTTGATAAATGCTGGGTCAGTGGGCACCCCAACAATCGTGCCCTCATCTCTGCACCCTACAAATCCTTCATGACATTCTTGCTGAGCCCTGTACTTGGCCGGGTCCCTAAAGTCATCATGATGAAGATAGTGGAGAGAAAGGCCAGGAGTCTTTTACCAGCAGAATTTGACAGGCTGGGCCCAAATGCTGGGAAGCTGCAATGATTTGAGATTTGGCCTTTGAATTATGAATGAGAAATAGTAAATCAAGATTTGATCCGGTAAGGCTTACACCATTTTTTTACTAGAAAAAAAATCAAACACACTTGTAAGAGGGCATTTTATGTTGCTGTCTTTCTCTGTCCATTCCTTGGCTGCCTGCCATCTCCGGCCTTCCACAGCATGCTGGGGCCCATGGGCCTCACACCTCGGATGGCCGTGAGCAAACTCCATAGACTGTGGTCAGTCTCCATATCATGGAGATGGTGTGGGTCGGCTGTGGGAGGCACCAGCTTGGAGGGTCCGGCGGGGAAATGGATGAGGTAAGGAACCTAGACCTGGGCCGGCAGGACTGGAAAAGCAAGCATAGGTGAGAAACTCGGCAGGATCTCTGAGCTGGAGAAGCTGCCCAAACCATGCTACAATGACCTAAAAATAGCCACTGAGACGTGGGAATGGCCTTCCCTGTGCTCTTGACTGGCTGTTATTTTTCAAGTTGCAAAATTGGAGGACTGGCCCTTAAGTGGGAAAATAAAGCTTAGCAAAGTAGCAATGATTGCAAATCTTCCATTTCCTTTGGAAAGCATTAGTAACCTATAAATATGGTCACTCACTCCTCCCTGCTCTCTCAGCCCAAGACACTTCGCCTCCCTCTCTTCAAGGCAGTGGCAGGGAGCAGGAAAATAGCAATGTTCTTTCTCCTCATTTTTATTC